CCCCAAAACCCCAAAACCCCAAAACCCCAAAACCCCGAATTTTAATGTTAAAGTTGAAATTCCTCTCAATTTAATGGGAAATATAGGATTGCTCCAAGACTACAGCATATATTAAAATTTAAAGAAAACCTCATACTCTCATTAAGACTCCACATTTGCTTCCTTGAAGCAAGGCATGCTTCTCCCTCAAGTTTGCAATCGTGAATTCAAAGCAGTCCAAAGATTTCAGATTTGAATTTCTGATGGTTTCTTACCTATCAAATCCACTTCTTAAAGAAAATAATAGCGATTTGTATAATAAATAAATGATTGACAACAAGTATTTCGTGGAACGCCAAATCGGCATGGGAGGAAGCTCTAGGGTGTATTTGGCAACTGATTCAGATGAAAATAAGGTGGCTATAAAGACAATCAGAGCTGAGAAGAACTACAAGAAATCATCTGCCACGAATATGCTTCAGAAAGAATATGATGTGCTCATGAAATTGTCGAATCATCCGAATGTAGTGAACGTCATTGATTACAACCATCATGGAGAGTCGAGTATTGGAAACAAAGTAGAAAAGATTATGTACAACGTGCTTGAGTTCGCAGAAAATGGTACATTGGGTCGGTTTATACGCCACACAGGTGCCATTGAGGAACCTATAGCAAGATTGTTTATTTTACAAATTTTAGATGGTATTAAGTTCCTTCATAAACAAGATCACGCTCACCTGGATATCAAACTTGAGAATATTTTGTTAGACAAATATTACAACATCAAGGTTGCAGATCTTGGATCGTGATCAGATGTGTCTATGACAGGAGGCTACGCTACTGTCAGGAGAGGTACGACTAATTATATGGCTCCTGAAGTTTCAAATCTCAAATCAAGAAAAAGATTTGATGCTAAAGCAGCAGACATTTATTCACTCGGAGTTACTTTTTATCTCATATTGACTGGAGAGTTCCCTAAAGTGCATGATCTAGAGAAATCTGTAGTTGATAGAGATGAAGATGTAGCTTATACTTGTGGATCAGACCGAGAAATGTCACTGGACTGTGAGATGACTGACGACTCCCTTCCTGCTAGCAACTTGATGCATCTTTCTAAGGAGGTACGGATCCTTCTTTACTCCATGCTTAACGAAGATCCTTCGAAAAGACCTGATATCCAGCAAATTCTGGATAATTCTTGGTGCTATTGCCCCTTAGATGAAGGTCTTCTCGAAGAAGCTTACACAGAGATGGAGTACAGAAGAAGGTATATCCAAAAGAACCTTCTGTGCAAGAAGAAACGTTAAGGTTGTTAGCTAACTCTTTATAAATAATCATATTGAGCAAAGTTGTAGGGCTTGCTTCTCACCGAGATTTAGTGTCATATTTTGTGTATGAGTCTTTCAACCAAATTTTAAGGAATGGGGTTTTGGGGTTTTGGGGTTTTGGGGTTTTGGGGTTTTGGGG